TGACCTTCTTCTTTCCATCGTTCGTTTTCTTGTACTTCCGCACCCACCGAGCATCTATGATGACCATGTCATCAGTGAAGGCATCTCGATGAAGTTTGCGAAATGCACCTTCTTGGACAAATTGAGACACTTCATGTCGGTCAGCTTCTTCCACTTGTGGCCAGATGCTGAAGACATCTTGTTCGGAGATATCGTCATGCTCTGTGTCAACTCTCCAAACATCAGAGGTGCGTAGATCCACATGGAGAATTGAATCTTGACTAGCACCAATGTGAAAAAGGAAAGCTGAGTTTTGATGGGCACAGCATTGCCGTTGATGTTGTTCTTGGTCAAAGAAAAGTCGATTGGTCAGATCATTTTCTGCCCAGAGCTGTGTGCCAGTCCAGCTGTCTGGTACTCCAAGTTTGATGTGCTGACGTCTCTCCATCAGGTAGTGCAGCGAGGAAGCATTGTAGCACACAGAGTGTGATGACCAATATTCAGTTCTAGGTTTCTTCTTCTCTGAGGCCATCGTCACTGTGCGTGATTCCATGCCGTCACGTTTGACACCATGTTTTTCCACGTCCATCTCTCCACCATCGCTATGTCCTGGAGAGTGATCTGGTTGAGGAACATGAGACTGTTCTGTCTCCATTGGCTTGCTCTTCTTCCATTCAATGGACGTTGCTTCTTCTTGATTGGTGACGTGGTAAAACAGGTAAATGGCACAGATGTCATCCTGCTTGGTCGCTGCAACCTTCTTCATTTTGATGGGATCTGCTGACCAGTGTTCCTGGATGTGGTACTTGACACTACCAAGATTCCAGGTGATCAAATATCCAGTGGTATTCCGTGGTGGCTTGATGAATTTCATGGAACGGCCATAAATCATGCCAGAAACTGATCTGCTGGTGAGAGACAGAGAAATGGTGTGTAGTTTCTGATACATGTTGGTGTCAAAATGGCCGTCACCAGGAACTTGACGCCAAACAACGCCATGGACCTTATGCTCAGGCAAATGGCCCAAAAAACGCTTGTTGTATGGTGGCACTCCTTCAGACATCTTCATCAAATCAAACAGTTCGTCCTCCGCCTTGTCATTCAACTTCAAACCATCGTTGTTGTTGAGGTAGGTTTGGACGTGAGGACGAATGTGTCTGATTGCCACAAGATATGGTCGGCCCTGGTACTGAATGATGGCGATGCCCTCGTCAGGGTCTAATCTCAAAAGAAGTGCTGGACCACGCCATCCAACGTCACCCTGAACTTCACGGTAGAACTCAACTTGGAACCAGGGCAGTGGTGTCAAGGCGATGTGCTCTGGTGCGATGGGCACGTGCTGTTCGGTCTTCAACAATGGCCTGTTGAACTGCTGCAAGTGACATCTGTCTGATCCTGAGGGCTTTCTCAAACGTGGTCAAATCAGTTTGAAGGGCTCCTGCTGAAGCCAAAACGCCAGGAGACTCGTCATTGTAAAAACCACGAGGAAGCACCCCAAAGACAGCCATTGCTGGTGTCACACCTCCGTAGTTCAAAGTGCAGTTGTGGGCCATAGCTGATTCCATCGCAATCTCAGAGGTTTCGGCAACAATGCCTTGACGATCAAGTTCTGCTTTCAGCTTGAGCATGGTCAGTTTCATCAAACCTGTGTGTCTTTCAACCAAGCCTGTGCTGGTATGTTGAGCACCAGCAGAACCAGCAGTCGTGCCTTTCGGCTTCCTTTCAATGTTCAGTCTTTCAAACTCGGCAGCCATGTCGTGGCTCATGAGGCTCGACTCCTGGTCCATGATGATGGAGCCTGGTGGTCCAAAAAAACGCATCCAATGTTCCAGAAGCTTCTGTTGCAGCTCTTGGCCTTCTCGTCCATTGGTTGTGACTGCCACCTTGTAGCGAGTCGCCTCATCGACCAGGATGAAGATCCAGGTGCCAAAGAGTTTGAAAAGATCTCCTTGAATGCATTGGTTGAAGGTGCCGGCATTGTGGATCTTGTGCTGTGGCCGATTTGGCAGTCGCACATACCGCCGGCATATTTGACACTTCATCACTGCATCACTGACCAAGTTGAGGACCTCCACTGGCATGCCAACTCTTGCCAAGAGATTCTTCAAATCGCTGGGTGGAGCATGCCAGTATTTTTCATGGAGACCCAAAAGGAGTCTTGCTGCAGTCTGTGGCTTCTCCTTGGCTAACTGAGGAAGTCGCTGGAAGACTTTCTTGAAGTCATACAAGGGCTTTGTTGCCACAATGTTGCGTGGTTTGAACTGCTCGATGGCTTCATCCTCATACGGTCGCTCTTGTTCATCGGCAACATTTCCTGCAGCATTGCTAGGGTCATTCGGGGGCTCCTCAACTGACACTTGTGCTTGTGCTGGTTGATGTTGTGGTTGTTGATCGTCTTCATCATCACTGAAGACTGATGTAACCGCTGGAGGCGGTGTTGATGGTGCTGAGGCACGTGCAGGTTGTGATGACTGTGAAGGCAACGCAGGAGTCGATGGTGATGATGTCAAAGGATTTGGCGTTTTTGGTACTGTTGAAGGATTCGGAGTTCTTGGAGCTGACTTGGCCACTGAGTCTGCATGAACTCCTCCTTCTCCAAGTTCTTTTCCAAACAAAGTGATTTGCCAGGCATCAATGCTGACAGGCTGCTCAATCTGACGCTTGCTACATGTGGTCAGATCTTGAAGCTCATCCATGATCCAATGCTTGACAGTGCCGTGAATCTGAACCCTCAAAGGTGCAGTATGTGTTGAAAGTTGCGGTTCTGGCGCAGCCATGGTGGTTGGACGAAGGCAAACTTTGACGCCCTTCAAGTACATGACTTTGCTGGTCAAATCACGAATGATGGCAAGTAGAGTCTGATCCAAGACCCAGTGTTGATAGTCCTTGCCGATGTCGGTGGCTTCACTGAAAATGGCCAGGGCTTCTTGTATCACTTGAAGCAAAACCGCTTTCCAGTACACCCTTGACTCGGCACTCATTGCCATTGGCTTTGGGAACTCCAGCTTCACATCTTCCATAGGTGATTTCTTTGCTTCTTTCTTCCAGTCAGCTACTGGATTGGCTGACGTGCCAGGATTTTTCCTCGGTCGTTTGCCGTCAGCAGTTGGGTAAACAGCATGGCGGCATTCTCCTGGAATGAGGCTGTGTTCCAAGCCAGGAGGTGATTGTCGACCAAGTTGGCAACGTTCGCACTTGTAAAGGTGACTATGCCAGACATGGTGCAAGCTCTTGGGCCACGCTGGCACGCAATCGGTGATTGTCGTTGAGGTGGCCGATGATGTCCTTGCACATTTCATGGCACATAGTTCTTGGATAGACTAAAGGTGACTATGCCAGACATGGTGCAAGCTCTTGGGCCACGCTGGCATGCGCAATCGGTGATTGTCGTTGAGGTGGCCGATGATGTCCTTGCACATTTCATGGCACATAGTTCTTGGATAGACTGCGGCCAAAGCAGTTCGATTGATGCCAGAGACCTTGCCTTGTAGTTGAGAATGAAGTTTCCCACGGTGACCGCTGCATCGCTTTGTAGTCTTTTTCCATTTGAAGTCTGACAGGAGAGCCGTGGCTTTCTGTACTGGTTGTTGAAACTCATCACAAGCTCCAAGCATGCATTGATCACAACGCTGCTTGCTGCGGCAGCTGGGAATCTCCTCAGGTTTGAGAGGACTGTCTCTGAACATCGTAGAGCCCCAAGGTTGTTCTGCTGCAAAGCTGCGTCCAGAGTAGGCTTGGTGCTGAAACACCTTCTTGGTGAAGTTCAGTCCTGGCTCATCTTCAAGTCGACCATGAAGTTTCTTCTCTTCGCTCATAGTGTTGGCCGTGGTGCTGTAGAACTTGCATCGTGGTGAAGCAAAAATCACTTCTGGCTTCAGCACCTCAATGACACGCCAGAGTTTCTTCTGGTGTTGGCTGCAGTTGATGTTCCAACCATAGCGCAAGTCAATGGGAGGACCAACAGTCAACCCTGCCGTAGCCATGGTCAAACTCAGGCGGCCAGAGCCGGAGTAGAGCTCCAAGAAGTGACATGCTGGATGACTGTGAGCCTTCTGAACTTCGTCAAGCCATCGGTCCACATTTTCGGGTGTGACCACTCTGCGACCAGTCTTCACATAGAACTCTTCGGGCATGGCTTTGTATTCATGATGTAGTTCCTTCAACTTTTGTGGATCTTGAAAATGGAAAAACATCACCAGCGTAGTTGGGCATCCATGAGTCAAGTTGCTTCTTGCTCAGCCAGTAGTTTTCCAAATCGTCCTGGATGAGGAACATGGTTCTGCCAATCCATAGTTTGCCGAGATCGGCATGCGCACGGGCTGGATTGCGCCAGTCATCCTCGTAGTGGATGTTGCTACTGTCCTGATCATGGTCTTGCTCGTCAATCTCAACCTTGCGCATGGAAAGCAACTTCTCCAAAGGAACTGGACAACTTTTGACACAATGTGGTGTGAACATCGTTCTGCGTGGCATACGATGTTCTCTGATCAGCCATTGGCCATGTATGGTCCATGTGTCCTCCTTCTTGTGGATTGGTTGTGAGAGTCTGCCATACTGTTTCGAAGTCGTTTCATCCATGTGATGTTGTAGTGACTGTTCTACTACAACAGGCGGTGATTCATCTGGCTGTTGCACTGAATCAGGTTGTTGATCTGGGCGTATGCCAGATACCTCGAATTCGTCTTTTGGGATTGGAACCTGTTGTGGAAAAGGTTCATCTGGCAGAACTCCACTCCGATCCGTCTCTGCTTCGTTCTTGGCTTCCACAAGGAAGCAGTGCCGTACTTGCGGAGGTTCATGAGGCCATAACAACTTGCTCTGGCTGATGATCTGGTTGGTCAAGAGGGCAACCTTGTTGTGAGTGCCATCAGGGATGGCATGCTTGTCCTTGCCATCGACAGGTAACAGGTAATGTCCTGAGTCTGTCAGGAGAAGACGTAGGAGAATTGGTTTGCGATCTGCATCCAGCATCTCTTCACGGTGGATGGTCAAGAGGCCATCTCCATTGGGAAACCAGTCGCTGAAAAGGGCAGCCTGCTGTTGACGTAATGCTGGATTGCCAACAAGTGCAGGACAAAGGGAACCAGCTCCTCCAAGAACATCACCTCGGTAAGAGATGCTGCGACTTGATGCGCTGAGCTTCAAAGACACTTCGCCAAGAGTTTCGTCTGGTTCACCCGATATGCCGGAGACTGATGTTGTCTTCTGGCTCCAAGTGACGCGATCATCACGTTGCTGTGGTGGTACACAATGTTCCATGATGTCGCGTAAAGTCTCTGAGCCGATCAGTCCAGAGGCAGCACCTGGGTCTATAAGAAGGCCCCGTCGTTTCTCACCCTTGACGGTGTGGTAGGATGCTGTCTCTCTGGAGCCTTTCAGAAACATCGCAAAACTGAGGACCTTGTCGGCCTTCTCCGTAGCGGCACGCTGGTTGCCATCTTCAGATTCTGGTGGAGTTGCTTTGTGTTTGTAGGTCTTGTTGATCTTGGTGAGATCATCGTCACTGGCATCCATCCTGTAGTAGGTGGTCTGAGTCATGGTTCGTGGCTGAGATGAAGAAGAGCTGGAATTGGCAAAATCTGGCTTGATGTGGCTGGCATCCAATGGTGGTCGTTGGCGAGACCAGTACTGATCATGTTCAGAGTAGTACTTGCCTTTGCCCTTGTGACCATGTCCCTTGTAGCCTTTGCCACCATAGCCCTTTGAAGATCCTGACTTCCAACCATATGGGGATCGGAAGCCATAGCCCTTGCCCTTCTTGCCGTAGCCCTTGTAAAGAGGTCTGGACTTGCCATAGTTCTTGCCTTTGCTGGAATGACCTTTGGATTGACCACTGGCATTCACAGGACATGCTGAGGAGGCATGCCATTTGCTGCCGCAGATTGCGCAGCCAAGACCCATGGCATTGCGACCCTTGCCATGACTACTGTAGTAATCTTCAAGTTCATTCTCTGCATCATCCTGGGCGTGTTCTGCTGGTGGTTCGTGTTGTTCCCATGTTTCGTCGTAACCATCATAGTTCCATGGTTCGTCATCATGCCACCATTCCATTGAGCACGCAGGAGGTGCGTAAACCGATTTCGCCACTTCACGCCACTTCACGCCACTTGAAGTGGCATGAAGTGGCATGAAGTGGCATGCTCACGGTGCGACCGCCACTTGAAGTGGCATGAAGTGGCATGAAGTGGCATGAAGCGGCATGCTCACGGTGCGACCGCCACTTGAAGTGGCATGAAGTGGCATGAAGCGGCATGCTCACGGTGCGACCGCCACTTGAAGTGGCATGAAGTGGCATGAAGCGGCATGCTCACGGTGCGACCGCCACTTGAAGTGGCATGAAGTGGCATGAAGCGGCATGCTCACGGTGCGACCGCCACTTGAAGTGGCATGAAGTGGCATGAAGCGGCATGCTCACGGTGCGACCGCCACTTGAAGTGGCATGAAGTGGCATGAAGTGGCATGAAGTGGCATGCTCACGGTGCGACCGCCACTACTACTACTACTACTACTACTAACTACTACTACTACTACTACTACTACTACTACTACTAACTACTACTACTACTACTACTACTTACTACTAACTACTACTACTACTACTAACTACTACTACTACTACTACTACTAATTACTACTACTACTAACTACTACTACTACTACTACTAACTACTACTACTACTACTACTAACTAGTAGTAGTACTACTAACTACTACTACTACTACTACGACGGCTACGGCTACTACTACTACGACAGCTACGACTACTTCTACTACTGCTACTACTACTACTGCTACTACTACCACTACTACTACTACGACGACGACGGCTACGGCTACTTCTACTACTACTACTACTACTACCACTACCACTACTACGACGACGACGGCTACGGCTACTTCTACTTCTACTACTGCAACTACTACTACTACTACTACGACTACGACTACGACTACTACTACTACTACTACTACTACTACGACTACGACTACTACTACTACTACGACGACGACGGCTACGGCTACGGCTACTTCTACTACTGCAACTACTACTACTACTACTACTACCACTACCACTACCACTACTACTACTACTACTACTACTACTACTACTACTACGGCTACGGCTACTACTACTACGACAGCTACGACTACTTCTACTACTGCTAGTAGCGTGAAGTGGCGAAATCGGTTTACGCACCTCCTTCGTGCTCAATGGATTTACTGAAATAAAACCATACAGTAGATGAGGAAATCCAACTACATATAATCAACTACGCCTCCGGCTTCCAGTGCCAGAGAAGCGTCGCATTTCTTGTTGATCAACAGAGTGACAAGACACTTACATGGCTTTTCTCACAAGTGTCAGGGGAAAATGAAGGTAGAGATAGGATAAATTGTACCCACAGAACAAATTGTAATGCTGAACCCCAGATTTCTAAGTAGTAACCAACTTAGGAAAAACTCGAGGTGAGAAACCCTTCAAATTGGAGCTGCATTTGTGACAGTGTTTAGGTTCGCACAGGTTTGCACTATCCCATGGAAGCTTTTGGTCCTGCATCCACTGCATCCACTGCCTTTTGTTGGCTTCAGCAACCTCGCCGAGCTTGTGCGAACTTGACATGTTTCCCGTGGTCTTGGCGCAAGCTGAAACATTTTCGATGTTGACCAGTCAAAAGTTCTGCAAATGTTTGTCTCACGCTTTTGCTTTCTCTCTTGATCTCTGGGAATCTGTTCGCAACGGCCCCGTTGCGTCTTTCACGATCCATTCGCTCCGTGCCTTCAGCAAAAAAAAAGGTCAGGGGCTCGGTGAACAGCATCGGTTCTCGATGCACAGGGAGTTGGAGTAAGTGGTTGTACCGGGCTTTGCCATTGGGCCGAGGCAATGTGGCTTTGTGACTTCTGGCAGATCTTGACTTGCCAAGGGTTTGATCCTCAGAGGAGAGGTTGATGATGACAAGGTAAGCATCCACTATTTCAATTTGCTGGTGCAAACTGCTGTGGTAAGCCTAATAATAAACCTACCATTTGGGGTGATTCAACTATCTATTTATGATCATATATGGGATGGTTTATAATGCGGTTTAATGCTCTCGGATGCCACTCTGTGTTCGGCCTTTGGTGTCCTCCAGCAGGTTTCTGGAGCAGAACACTGACTGCTGGCTGAGGCTGTGACTGCTTGGTTTACAGCTTGTTTGATTGGGTCTCAAAGTATGATGCAGATTATTTTACCATGATGCAGATAATTATCGAAGGACGTTTAGAAGTCAAACTTCCAACAATATGGACAGATGAAAAGCAGAGATGGGAAGAGTCAGAGAGAAGAGAAGAGTAGAAGAGAGCAGATGAGAGAAGAGAAAGAGTCAGAAGAAAGAAGATGCAGACGCGCGAAAAAGGTAGGAAACGCGCGAAACACTGTGTTTTTCCAATGATTTGTGGCTCCGGAGAGTCGAAAAGTACGCTCGCTGAAGCGGCGGGTGGGGAGCCGGTTGGCAGATGAGAAATGAAAAATTGCACGCCGTTGTGACGCGACTACACTACACTACACGACACGACACGACACTACACACAACACACTACACACTACACCATGCCACACCACACCACACTCAATTACATTACACTACACTACCCTACCCCGCATTGCGTTACATTACGTTACATTGCATTACATTACCCTACATTCACTACACCACCACAAATGCAACTGCAACTACACTACACTAATTACACTACACCACAATTACAGCTCCACCACTACAACTACAACTACAGCTGCACTACACCACACTACATCGAGCAGTTGTGGGTGAGGTGACCGACCTGGTGACCACTGCAACCATTGCAACCACTCCAAAAAACACAGCTCCAATCCCCTGTCGGTCCATCAGTGGATTTGCTCTGCCATCCGTGATTCACAGAAACTAATCTCTCCTATAGGTTTCCTATTTTTGACACTTCCGCCACCGCCTTGTGCAGCACTACTGATATGTATATATATATATATAATAATTTCACAATATTATCTCTCTCTATATATCTATGTATATATATATATATATATGTGTGTACACATGATTATTAGTTTATACGTATACAATTCCCAAGGGCTTTGATTTGGATTCCGTCAATTTCCTCAACAACTTCAAGCTGACACTGGCCAGGTAGCCTATCTGTAGTGTGCGACTACTGTTGATTCACTTGATTACTATTTACAATCTTTGATAGTTTTGATGTGACATTTGGGACTCACATCAACATTGCACGCTACACATTGAGTTTTTTAAACTTGAGTTTTGACAATAATTTCAACCAAAACCTGGAGTGGGTGACCTTGCCATCGAGGCTTCTAAGCTTGAGTTTTGTCATTACTTTCAACCAAAGACTGGAGCAGTTGACCTTGCCATCGAGTTATTAAAGTTTGAATTTCGTCCATAATTTCCACCAAAACCTGAGCCAGTTTTGACATTGCCATCGAGTCCTCAAAGTCTGAGATTTGGCTTCTAGGCGTGAGTTTTGGCCTCAATTTCAATCAAAACCTGGAGCAGTTGACCTCGTCATCGAGTTTTGAAAACAGCAGCCATGAGCACCAATTATGTGCAATGATCGCCATTGAATGATTTGAATGTTAGGTATGCGACATGCGTTATCCTCTCCTAATCCTGTATGGGTGGTTTCTTAATGCTTTATACTCTTTCACTATAACCCTTCTTTCTATGTGCTACTCATCCTCAACTCACAATTCCACAAACCATTCAGGATATGTGCTCTTAACCATTACCTTACGGTACTACTAACTGTTCAGAGTGCTACTTGGAAGTATACACACTAGTAGACCTGCTAGCATGGCACACTCTTGGCCATGGTCGCAGGGCATGGCGCAAGAGGAAGATGACCCGCAGGATTCCAGAGACATGGTTTTGCACACGCCCGGCTGGGGCAATGAAGCTTGGCCTCCAGCTTGGCTGCCCGCGCCGATACGGCCTATGCGCGGCAGTGTTGGGAGATTTTCGGCTGCAGCTGTCAGCTCCAGGGAAGAGTGCAACAATGCCCAGGACTTTTTTGGAGATTTACCGGTGTCAGACCGTGTGGGCCACGACAAGACGGGTGTCGGTTACAAGGATCCGTCTCTTGCAACAAACCGGTCACTTGCGTTGCCGTCATCTTCGAGCACTTTGCCCGTAGACTTGCAAAGCACGAATACGATATCGTTGTTGGTCGCAAATGTCGGCTTCATCGATCGCAGCCGGCGCTTTTCTGATTTCATAGCAGGCAATTTTTCGGTCGTCCTTCTTCAAGAAGCTCACTCCTGTGGCATCTCGCACCGAATTGCAAAAGCACGGGACATGTGCATCTTAGAGGGTCTAGGCCGGGTTGGATCATGCATGGCTGTCCTAGCTGGACAGACAGGGACAAAGTATCTCAGCCGTATATATCCGACCTGGGATGGATTGATGGAGCGACCCTACAAGGATTCGGCCAAACAAGGTGATCGCATCCATTCATTAGTTTGCCTGTCTGCGGAGGTGCAATGGGTCAATGAAGCGAACGGTGGAGTTATATCTCGAGCCGGCCTCAGTTCCTTCCGGGTTACCACAGTGCACGTCCACAACGACGAGAAGCGTTCCGTCGAGTCGTGCAAGCTTGCATTAAAGACACTATTTTGGTTGGCGCTCCGAGACAAACATCGTGTCGTTGCAGGCGACTTCAACTTAGAACCCCAGGCTATTCGTGATGCAGTGGATTGTGTTATCGAGCAGTTCGAGGGAGCGAGTTACGAGGTTCTACATGGTGATCGCAGCGCGGAGATCTGTTGCGTGCTGCTGAATTTCGCCAAGTTGCCTCAGCTGCGAGGCGCAGTGAAAGGCGCGGTGGCGGAGCGCTGGACAAGTGAGGAGTTGAGACTTTCAGACAACGATGCTGATTCACACTATCCCCTCATTCTTGAACTTTCCCCTCTGGAGCTGCGTGAGGGTGACTTGCGTAAGCGATCCGCGGAAGCGGCTGCCAAGCGAGCGCAGAAGAAGTCGAAACGATCGTGGACGAAAAATAGCCGGAGTGGGGCTGCAAAGAGACTTACGTGCATAGATATATGTCATATCACATTTGCATCTATCTACCTAAATAGATTTCTATGTATATATGTGAAATTCAAGGTATCTGGATCTAAATTCAAGGTATCTGGATCCAAATCTGGTTGAGGGCTACTACTGGGATGGAAGCCCTGAAGATCCAGCGCTATTGAAATGTTGAAGGTATGGTGTTTTTTCTCTTGTAATTTGCTTAATTTTGAATGTTTGACAGGAATTCGAGGGTTTTTTGGACCCACTCAAATCTGCAAGTATTTCCCTTCAAATCCACTTCATTTTGATTCTTGGATTCCTGGGGTTTCGCCAGCGACACCAACGTGGCAGGTCGGGGCACTCACACCGTAAAAGATCCGGATGAGGCCGGCAAAGGCGGTGTTCCTCAGACCTGACAGTCATTTTGAATGTCGAATGCAGTTGCACCTCCATGTCGTAAATGTGGTAAACCCAAGACCAATTCCATACAATTCGGACTTATTTATTGTTTAACCATGCTCATTTTGGGTTTGACTCAAATTTGACTAATAACAAATAACCATTGATAAATTGTACCCACAGAACAAATTGTAATGCTGAACCCCAGATTTCTAAGTAGTAACCAACTTAGGAAAAACTCGAGTTGAGAAACCCTTCAAATTGGAGCTGCATTTGTGACAGTGTTTAGGTTCGCACAGGTTTGCACTATCCCATGGAAGCTTTTGGTCCTGCATCACTGCATCCACTGCCTTTTGTTGGCTTCAGCAACCTCGCCGAGCTTGTGCGAACTTGACATGTTTCCCGTGGTCTTGGCGCAAGCTGAAACATTTTCGATGTTGACAAGTCAAAAGTTCTGCAAATGTTTGTCTCACGCTTTTGCTTTCTCTCTTGATCTCTGGGAATCTGTTCGCAACGGCCCCGTTGCGTCTTTCACGATCCATTCGCTCCGTGCCTTCAGCAAAAAAAAAGGTCAGGGGCTCGGTGAACAGCATCGGTTCTCGATGCACAGGGAGTTGGAGTAAGTGGTTGTACCGGGCTTTGCCATTGGGCCGAGGCAATGTGGCTTTGTGACTTCTGGCAGATCTTGACTTGCCAAGGGTTTGATCCTCAGAGGAGAGGTTGATGATGACAAGGTAAGCATCCACTATTTCAATTTGCTGGTGCAAACTGCTGTGGTAAGCCTAATAATAAACCTACCATTTGGGGTGATTCAACTATCTATTTATGGTCATATATGGGATGGTTTATAATGCGGTTTAATGCTCTCGGATGCCACTCTGTGTTCGGCCTTTGGTGTCCTCCAGCAGGTTTCTGGAGCAGAACACTGACTGCTGGCTGAGGCTGTGACTGCTTGGTTTACAGCTTGTTTGATTGGGTCTCAAAGTATGATGCAGATTATTTTACCATGATGCAGATAATTATCGAAGGACGTTTAGAAGTCAAACTTCCAACAATATGGACAGATGAAAAGCAGAGATGGGAAGAGTCAGAGAGAAGAGAAGAGTAGAAGAAAGAAGATGCAGACGCGCGAAAAAGGTAGGAAACGCGCGAAACACTGTGTTTTTCCAATGATTTGTGGCTCCGGAGAGTCGAAAAGTACGCTCGCTGAAGCGGCGGGTGCGGAGCCGGTTGGCAGATGAGAAATGAAACAATTGCACGCCGTTGTGACGCGACTACACTACACTACACGACACGACACGACACTACACACAACACACTACACACTACACCATGCCACACCACACCACACTCAATTACATTACACTACACTACCCTACCCCGCATTGCGTTACATTACGTTACATTGCATTACATTACCCTACATTCACTACACCACCACAAATGCAACTGCAACTACACTACACTAATTACACTACACCACAATTACAGCTCCACTACACTACAACTACAGCTGCACTACACCACACTACATCGAGCAGTTGTGGGTGAGGTGACCGACCTGGTGACCACTGCAACCATTGCAACCACTCCAAAAAACACAGCTCCAATCCCCTGTCGGTCCATCAGTGGATTTGCTCTGCCATCCGTGATTCACAGAAACTAATCTCTCCTATAGGTTTCCTATTTTTGACACTTCCGCCACCGCCTTGTGCAGCACTACTGGTATGTATATATATATATAATAATAATTTCACAATATTATCTCTCTCTATATCTATGTATATATATATATGTGTGTGTACACATGATTATTAGTTTATACGTATACAATTCCCAAGGGCTTTGATTTGGATTCCGTCAATTTCCTCAACAACTTCAAGCTGACACTGGCCAGGTAGCCTATCTGTAGTGTGCGACTACTGTTGATTCACTTGATTACTATTTACAATCTTTGATAGTTTTGATGTGACATTTGGGACTCACATCCACATTGCACGCTACACATTGAGTTTTTTAAACTTGAGTTTTGACAATAATTTCAACCAAAACCTGGAGTGGGTGCTATATATGAATATCTATAACTGCACATGCAGATAGATATTCATGAGCACCCACAGATGCCACAGTTGGGACGAGAGTCACCGGTTGACATGAGGGGCTTTCAGGGCACATGGTGCTTTCAGGGCTGAACAGTTGCCACCTATCTGGTGGTTGAGAGGCAACTTTCCATCGCCCCTTACCTCTCCATCATCGCAGCGAATGTGGCGCAGCAGGACTCACCAGGTCCTGGTCATCATTGAGTCATCCATTTTCATAGGGTGTGAATGGAAGTTTAATATGGATTCAAGTGGATCTATTTGGATCTATTTGGATCTATGGAGTTGATACAATCCATTTTCATGGGGAAATTCTGTATAGTTTAAACTTCTTCTATATAGATTATTAAGCTTATACAATCCCCATGACATATATCTATAGCCATTAATCGGCGATTCCTAAACTTCTTCAGCCCAGGAGCTGAAGCTGCCCTGCCTGGCTCACGTCTTGGGGGAGCCTGAGACATTTCTGCCTCTTGGCTCCATACGACCAGCAGGTCTGGACGCAAATCGGATGAGATGTTTACGACCATGTGTGGTATATAGCCAATAAATAGGAATAAACCATATCCACAGTATATCCCCAAATGTTGGCCATAAATTTGGCCTGAGGTTAATGTGGTTTTATCGGATTTTACAATGATCTTTTGGGGGTTTCATATATTTAGCCCTTTGGTGATCCAACCATGGAGGTCTTTATAGGGAAAAACATGTTTCAGCACCGGAGAGGAACTGGGTTGTACGCACTTGGTGCAGTAACTGGGATTCAGGGATTCTGTATCCAAGAATGATGTGATGTCACAGTAGATACAAGTGGTAATGATATAACTTGAGTATAACTGTCCATACAGAACTCCAATCGTGGGAAGATCACTGATTGTCCAGTGTAGCGATGATATCAAGTGGCTGGGTTTCTCAGTTTCTCCAAAGCCAAGGAGCATTTACGCCAACGGCCTCTCTGCTGGAATGGATGTCCCTGCTGTTCCAGTGGGATAGATGTATAAAATCAGATCACGTAGGATATTATGAGATGTATCTATCAGTCACATATGTGGTGTCCAGTGTTGCGGGTTCCAGCTAGAGAGGTTCCAATTTGGTTCCACCCACAAAGGGTCTTTCCAACTCATCTCCCAGGTCACATCTCCAATCTGCTCAGCGCTGCCTGGCTGGCCCCGGGTCTGGAACATTTGGTGTGCCTGCAGGCACCAACCCTCATCGCCCCCCAATCCATCGTTGGGTTTCCCCATATTTTGTTAGGACTTCAAGTCAGATCAAATCATATTTCACCCGAAAGTCAGATCAAGTCTCAGTTCCCCATATGTTTTCCCCACATTTTTTTGGGAGTTCTCAGAGTTCTCCAGCTCCCCCGGCCATCTTCGCCCCCAGGACTTCACCTTGCGCCTCAGCGGCTGCTGCACCCTGCGCCGCTTCGGCTGCGCCGCGTCGCTGCCGCGCACCCTGCGACGCTTGGAGCTGGGCCTGGACAGCTGCGAACGGCTGCACGATGCCACGGAGCTGCTGCGGGGAATCGGCCCCTTGGACGCGAACCATCGAGGGGTGAACACGCGGTGAAGCAATGGTTGGAATATGGCAGTGTGTCAAAACCAATAGTACCCCTGTAGTTCACATGAAAATAGCTGGTAAATGGATGTTCATCCCCCTAAAAATGGTATTAATAGGTATTGATCCATACCCATCTGTTGGAATGGGGTACAGTTTCAAAGAAACCCAGCCTTCGGAGGTGTTATGTTTGTTTATATCAATTGAATTACGTATAGCAATATATCTGGGAGTTGTTGGTCGTGTTTGATGAGAGAATAGCAGTGATATGAAAATCCCCCTGGTGCAATTTTTTCACCGCTGTTCAGGTGATTTAATGCAGCTGACCTCCCTTCGCCTTTCCATGTCGGGATGCAAAGGCGGTGGCTGTTTGATTGGGATTCTGTTTGGAGCCACCATGGGTGTACTTCTTCCAGAAAGATCATAGGTAGGCACGTAGGTTCATACACACAAACAGAATATATTGCACTAGCAACAATGATTAATACCAAACTTAAAAAAATCAAATAACACAGCATAATTCGCAAATGATTTGGGGACTTGGAGGTTTGCTGCTGGATTCTGACTTGGTTCTGCTGGGCAAAAGCCTACGGCAACTTCAAGAGCTGCAGTGCCATGGTGATCCATGGTGGGGGCTATCCCGCAGGGGGCTTACCATTGGGAAAATTGAAGGCGTAGCAGTCCTACCAGTCATAGTCTGGTCATTATGAAGAGCAGAGACTGAGTAGAATGATATCTTAGTTTCGGTGGCCCAAGCCTGAACGACTCTGAAAATTAGATATGGCTCAAACGTATGTTACCTCCACATGGGATGAACATGTAGAGAACTACAGACTGTGTCGCTCCAGACCTCTCAACACTTTGTGTCTACACAAGTTACACTTGTGAGATGTGATCACAAATTTATTTCACCGTGATTTCTTGATACCCAATGGTCCAGGAAAACGGCTGGCTCACCGGCCCAAGCTGGTAATAGCTGTAATAACCTTACTATTTTTCCCTAGTCTTTGCACATCACTTCCAACTCCCCCTTTATTTTCCCTAGTAGCACTGGTGGATTTCCCTGCAACTCACTTCAGCCAAAATCATTCCATGATGGACCATGATGGACCATGATGGATGGACCATGGATCCAGGCATTTGTCCTTGAACTTCTCCGGAACCAAGCGGCTCTTTTACCTCATCGAGCTGGGTCGAAGTATTCGTTACCTACGTCAGCTGCATGAGCTCTTGAGCCGCAACGACACGAGGGAGCGAGGGGGCGACTTGGGAGGGGTGGTAACCCATTAGGTGGGGATTGATGTCTATCTTTATCTATTACTATCACTATTATTACCATGATATTTACAGAAATTGACAGTATATAATAGTCACAACTATTATTTTATGTTCTTTTGAAGGAACATCAATAGGGTCTGATGCCATCATTGTAGGTACTCGTGTCACTGGCGCATGTATTGGCTGCCACCATTAGCAGCCTTTTGAGATTACTCGAAAAAACGATGCAGACAAAATGAACTTGGTGTCCCAGTATTTAAATTCACCAAGAAATGGAGTTTGGGAGTTACACAGTACTTGAGCAATTGGCAACTCTCCGAGAGCATCACGTGTGATTGGGTTTCAGATTTAAGAGCCCCCAGCCAACAGAGCTTGAGCATTTTGAGTTGTGAACCATCCATGCAACACTGGAGTGTGGAATAATTTGTCCAATACTCGGCTCACATGACTTATACGTGGGCGATCTTGCTGTGGTTGCTGGCTGTTGGTTATCCTTTGGTTGTTGCTGAATCACTCGTTGAGCGGCCACACACACATATTTATGTAGTGTACGTTTACACGGACATTGCTCACCTGGGCAACAGCGTGCGCATCTTGCTGGAGGGACCCCTCCGCAGCTCTGAGGACGTCCCCGGCAGCTTCTCCTTGAAGTTGGACAAGTCGGGTGTGCGCATCAACCGGGCCCCTGGGCAGGGACGATGGGGTGCCGTTCAGCAAGAAAGAAGGGGGCTGAACTAGCAGAAAAAGGGGATTTAACCGCGGAAAATGATGGATAAAACATGAAACATGATTGAAGTTCAGGTTTAAACACGAAAAATGAAAAAATGGAGTGTGAAGCGATAATTATATAGATGATGTATCAATGAGGGGGGGTCAAACCAGACAAGATCATGGGGATGCTATGGGGATGGGGGTCGGAAGGCTTAACGCAATGGTGACGTGTGGGCATGTTATGTGGGATGCGGGGATTTTTGGTCGGGATACACCGTGTTTCCGAAATTTTACTAGGCCTTTGGCTTGCACAACCTCTTCCAAGTTCTTATTTTTTCGGTTCTCCCATGTATTTTGGAACACTTCAAAAAGTTTCAAGTTGGTTGTTGGTGGTCTTTCGATTGAAAACCAAGCGGGCTAAGCCCAGTAGGATCGGTATTCTTTTTAAACTTATCGGGAGGTGTGAGAATTAGAGCTTTTCTTAAAGAATCAACAAGTCTTTTTGAACTCCAGAATCCAATGGAATTAATCCCTCCGATCCCAATAATAGCACGCCTGGGTTTCTGAGGGCATTTCGTTTTTCGGAGCATTTCGGGATAGGGTTCCTCCAGTTACCAACGCCCAAGGAGAAGGTGGTGGGCTATGACAGCGCGGGTGCATTTGTAAAGGCCCTGGGTATCAGGGCGCTCTCAGATCCGGAGGATGCTGAGGGACCTCCCGTGGAAACAGAACGTGCCTCCATTACCTTACGGTACTACTAACTGTTCAGAGTGCTACTTGGAAGTATACACACTAGTAGACCTGCTAGCATGGCACACTCGTGGCCATGGTCGCAGGGCATGGCGCAAGAGGAAGATGACCCGCAGGATTCCAGAGACATGGTTTTGCACACGCCCGGCTAGGGCAATGAAGCTTGGCCTCCAGCTTGGCTGCCCGCGCCTGCCCGCGCCGATACGGCCCATGCGCGGCAGTGTTGGGAGATTTTCGGCTGCAGCTGTCAGCTCCAGGGATGGGTGCAACAGTGTCAGACCGTGTGGGCCACGATAAGACGGGTGTCGGTTACAAAGGATCCATCTCTTACAACAAACCGGTCACTTGCGTTGCCGTCATCTTCGAGCACTTTGCCCGTAGACTTGCAAAGCACGAATACGATATCGTTGTTGGTCGCAAATGTCGACTTCATCGATCGCAGCCGGCGCTTTTCTGATTTCATAGCAGGCAATTTTTCGGTCGTCCTTCTTCAAGAAGCTCACTCCTGTGGCATCTTGCACCGAATTGCAAAAGCACGGGACATGTGCATCTTAGAGGGTCTAGGCCGGGTTAGGTCATGCAGCTGCCAAGCGAGCGCAGAAGAAGTCGAAACGATCGTGAACGAAAAATAGCCGGAGTGGAGCTGCAAAGAGACTTACGTGCATAGATATATGTCATATCACATTTGCATCTATCTACCTAAATAGATTTCTATGTATATATGTGAAATTCAAGGTATCTGGATCTAAATTCAAGGCATCTGGATCCAAATCTGGATGAGGGCTACTACTGGGATGGAAGCCCTGAAAATCCAGCGCTATTGAAATGTTGAAGGTATGGTGTTTTTTCTCTTGTAATTTGCTTAATTTTGAATGTTTGACAGGAATTCGAGGTTTTTTGGACCCACTCAAATCTGCAAGTATTTCCCTTCAAATCCACTTCATTTTGATTCTTGGATTCCTGGGGTTTCGCCAGCGACACCAACGTGGCAGGTCGGGTCACACACACCGTAAAAGATCCGGATGAGGCCGGCAAAGGCGGTGTTCCTCAGACCTGACAGTCATTTTGAATGTCGAATGCAGTTGCACCTCCATGTCGTAAATGTGGTAAACCCAAGACCAATTCCATACAATTCGGACTTATTTATTGTTTAACCATGCTCATTTTGGGTTTGACTCAAATTTGACTAATAACAAATAACCATTGATAAATTGTACCCACAGAACAAATTGTAATGCTGAACCCCAGATTTCTAAGTAGTAACCAACTTAGGAAAAACTCGAGTTGAGAAACCCTTCAAATTGGAGCTGCATTTGTGACAGTGTTTAGGTTCGCACAGGTTTGCACTATCCCATGGAAGCTTTTGGTCCTGCATCCACTGCATCCACTGCCTTTTGTTGGCTTCAGCAACCTCGCCGAGCTTGTGCGAACTTGACATGTTTCCCGTGGTCTTGGCGCAAGCTGAAACATTTTCGATGTTGACCAGTCAAAAGTTCTGCAAATGTTTGTCTCACGCTTTTGCTTTCTCTCTTGATCTCTGGGAATCTGTTCGCAACGGCCCCGTTGCGTCTTTCACGATCCATTCGCTCCGTGCCTTCAGCAAAAAAAAAGGTCAGGGGCTCGGTGAACAGCATCGGTTCTCGATGCACAGGGAGTTGGAGTAAGTGGTTGTACCGGGCTTACCAGGTGTGCCATTGGGCCGAGGCAATGTGGCTTTGTGAATTCTGGCAGATCTTGACTTGCCAAGGGCCTGATCCTCAGAGGAGAGGTTGATGATGACAAGGTAAGCATCCACTATTTCAATTTGCTGGTGCAAACTGCTGTGGTAAGCCGAATAATAAACCTACCATTTGGGGTGATTCAACTATCTATTTATGGTCATATATGGGATGGTTTATAATGCGGTTGAATGCTCTCGGATGCCACTCTGTGTTCGGCCTTTGGTGTCCTCCAGCAGGTTTCTGGAGCAGAACTCTGAACTGCTGGCTGAGGCTGTGACTGCTTGGCTTACAGCTTGTTTGATTGGGTCTCAAAGCATGATGCAGATTATTTTACCATGATGCAGATAATTATCGAAGGACGTTTAGAAGTCAAACTTCCAACAATATGGACAGATGAAAAGCAGAGATGGGAAGAGTCAGAGAGAAGAGAAGAGTAGAAGAGAGCAGATGAGAGAAGAGAAAGAGTCAGAAGAAAGAAGATGCAGACGCGCGAAAAAGGTAGGAAACGCGCGAAACACTGTGTTTTTCCAATGATTTGTGGCTCCGGAGAGTCGAAAAGTACGCTCGCTGAAGCGGCGGGTGCGGAGCCGGTTGGCAGATGAGAAATGAAAAATGGCACGCCGTTGTGACGCGACTACACTACACTACACTACACGACACGACACGACACGACACTACACACAACACACTACACACTACACCATGCCACACCACAGCACACTCAATTACATTACACTACACTACCCTACCCCACATTGCGTTACATTACGTTACATTGCATTACATTACACTGATTCATTACACCACTACAAATGCAACTGCAACTACACTACACTAATTACACTACACCACAATTACAGCTCCACTACACTACAACTACAACTACAGCTGCACTACAACTACAGCGACAGGGTCATGGGGTTGGATCCTTTTGGGTCCTCTTGGGATGTCAAGTTCAAACTTGCAAACCTATCAAGTCTAATGAGTCTATGTCAAACCTCAAATCTGCTGTCTTTACATCCTTCCAATCGGCTTCCAATCCTTCCAATCTCAGTGGGAACCTTTCGCATCCTTTCGCCACGCCAGGAAGTGAAAGCTGAGGTCAAAGCCATTGGCTCAGGCCCGAAGATTTCAGACCTGTCTGTCAGACTCCCGAGTCCATCAAAACTGTTTGAAAGGAACCACGGGCAGAAACTCGATCCCATTATTGATGGAGACAAACACACCTGTCACCTGAAATATCTATATATATATATATACACACATGATGCATTTTTCCGGACTACGCGTGGTTGAAACTGGGCATTGCTGTCCTTCCCTTTGAGGAACCCGGCGGCTGAGGTCGTGAGGTAAAGCCAATAATAAATCCAGAGACGGGGGATAGTTTTTTTTTAAAATAGGGTTTTATCACACACATGTATATATATATAATTCTGGCAAAAAATTGGAGAGTATTCAGTACTTGCTTTGTTACACTATATATTTTCCGGAAATTTTCAACAAAACCTGTGGCTGTGCAGGACGTGATGGGTCGCCCAGTGATGATAGCGCGTGCCAAGCATTTTGATTCGCAGACATCGGTTCCTCGGCATATGACATACCCGGTGGAAAATCACTAATTTCATTAGGTAAATCAATAATAAATGGGTAATTTTGCATAGTTATGTTAGTTCACCGGAGGGTATTTGAAGACTGCCAAGAGGCTCTGAGTAGCGCATCATTTGCGATATTGGTAAAGTTTGAGCCCTGATCTAGTGAGGTTCGTCATTAGGGCCTGGTTGCGAAGCATCCACACACACAACTAAGAGTGACAGGCATGGAAGACCCACTGATGATAAAATATGATAAAATGCTATGGTCCGGTTAAAAGATACCTGAGAGAGATGTAAGTTGGCAATTCAATCGTCAGTTACAAACAATGAATTCCCAGTTCATCACCGGTTGTTTCATATATGGCAACCCCCCAGTCATAGATAGAAAAGTCGCAAAAGCCTTTAGATTCTGAGGAGGAAACCACCTTTTTTTCACCTCCTGGCTGTCCTTTTGTTGTTAAAGAATGATTTCGAAAAACCTGGACCTTGACCTTGCCTCGTTGGAAAACCTCAACCCCCGGGGCCCCCGGCCGAAAAAAAGGCTGAGACCTTCCGCTGCTTTTACCGTGGAATGGTGGATAGCATCATCGCCCACTTTCTGCTGAAACGCCGACCGGAGCTGGATGACCGGAATCCCTTGGAGCAATATGCGGCTTGGGTTGGCACTGCAGCACGGAAAGGGTTAGCAGAAATCCCGCACCAGGCGGGTATACAAGCGTGTCTACTAATAGTGACCCAGTTTTATACGCACTGAATCCACGCTCTCAATATGAAACCTGCAAATATTGGGACTATAACGGGAGAAACCATCTACCAACTGGTGCGGAATTTATTCCATACAGTATCTAGGTGAATTCTATGGTGTTTCACTTATCGCTAGACAAAGACTATCTATAATCCAAACTAGTATCAACTAATGTGAATTCTACGGTGTGTGGAAATGAGCTATAACATGCTATAACTATGGTTGACATCGGTGACTGATAAAGGATGATAAAGGTACGACACGAAACTAATGTGGTAAACCCCATGCCATAATCCACCCCCAATAGAGGGGTTTATGATGCGCCTAGGCCCTAGGAATGGGATGATATCTATTCTTACCCCTTTTATGGTTGGTAAATGGGATTGTTTATGGCATTGGGTTTGCCACACTAGGCGAGTTCAAAGGTGTATGGTGGCTAATATCTATGGTTGAAATTGGTAACTGATAAGCAAAACTAGGTGAATTCTTCGGTTCATAATGGACATATCAAGCCTATGGTGTTTATAAATCAAGAAATCGACCTCGAAACACCTTGTGACCAGCGGAACCTCAAAACATGAACCACTTGCTCTCCACCATGCGTGGGAGGGAACTGTGGATCATGTTTGGTTCTTGGTTTCAAACAATCCTAAACGACTTTGATCCGAATGACCTCCTTGCGCTTCAGGCCTGAGTGCTGATATCCCCAGTTTTGGGTCTCAACACTCCATGTTTCTGTTTCAATCCTTATTTTAAGGTTCATCATCCAACCCATTATAGGTAGATGATTCAGTAGATGATAGCAACTTTTGGGGTGGAATTTGGCCACCTGACCAATCTATCTACCCCATTTTCGCCGCTCGTATGTGGGGTGTTGAGAGCAACCTTGATTCATATCATCAACCATCATGGTGATTGAGGGCGGGCATGTTGATTATATCGAACAAATATCCATGAGATATCCCTACCCATACATTTCCCATGCGTTCCCCTCTTGGTTGTGCATCACACTTAGTAAGTAATTAAAACCCATATATCACCCATATATTCCGTTAATTATAATCCCATACGTACGAAGGGATATTCCATTACTGGTTGGTTCTGGAGCATTTTTTTTCCATATATTTGGGGATTATATAATCCCAACTGACTAATATTTTTCAGAGGGGTAGGTCAACCACCAATCAGATTATATAATCTAACTGGTTTTTGTTCACCCCTTTACGAAATGGGATGCACCCCCCAGCAGGCCGGGGACCACGGCCTTGGTTCCCCAGGTGGTCGTGTTGGACGTAAGGGGCGCCGTCCGGCAGAACTTTTCCATGACGGCGATTAAACTGATGATCCAAGATCCTCGCAATGGCTATGGTGGTTACCCTCTGGTAATGTCAAAATAGCTATTGAACATGGTCATTTATAGTGGGTTTACCCATCAAAATGGTGATTTTCCGTAGTCATGTTAGTTTACCAGAGGGTAATCATGGTTAGTAAGAATGGTTATTGTGGTGATTAGTGGTCAATAATGGTGTGAACTGAATAAGTTAATATATATATATATATATATTTTTTATGTATAGTGATTATTGATGATTATTGTTGATTATTTCAATAGTAGTCATTGTGGTGATTAGTAACAGGCCAAAAATGTTTGGCCACCTATGAAAATAGATGAATTAGCTAGTGAATACGACCATTTTCCATGGCTGAATAACTAGAGGCTAACTTAACATATACAATATTGAATCATGAAAAATCGTGACAAAGGGGCGCTCTATGTATCAAATGGGTCACTATTATGGAATATATATATATATATAATGGGATAACGGGTTTTGCCAGAATTGGACAAAGGGATCCTGCAGTTTGTGCTGAGAACCCGTGTTTCAGGGTTGTAAAGCATCTTTAAGGATATAGTCAGATGGCGATGGAGGGAGAGAAGCTGCTGGGACCGGGAATCCCGATCAACCAACACCCAGAGCACGTTTGTCCAGGAAAGCAATACCTACTACCCTGACCGTGTGGCCCAAATCTTTGTTTTAGGCGCGGAAGAAATGACAACAGTGGCCCGTAAGTGCTTGTTGCCACGATGTGACATGCGGTGAAAGAGCAATTAAAGCAGCGGAGCACCGGTTTGATGTTGACAACCTGAATCAACCTGATGCCATATATATATATAAATAAACTTCTATTCAGTGCAGCCGCGCACGCGCAAGAAGGCCCCAGGGCTTCCAACTGCGGGATTGAAGCAGCCAAAATGGAGGATAAAAACATATAAAAACCCACCAAGATGGAGGAAAAACATATAAAAACTTTTTAAAAACCCACCAAATAATGACTCATACTATTTGGGTTTCAAATCGTTGTTTTTTCCTCCATAATTATAAGATCTTTTTACATGCCATATAAATGGTCCAAGATCGGGATGTAGGATCTTCTGGACAACTTGGGATTAATTTTCCATCCGTTTTGAGCGTCCCGTGTTCCGCTCAGACTCAGCTGATCACTACAGATGAGGTGCAGCCTGGGTCACCAACATTCACCATCATTCACCAACCATTTAAGGGAGTCCATGATAGTCAATGGGCAATTTATGTACGTGTATATATATATACAGATATACATATATATATACATATGTATATATATATATACATATATATATACATATAGATATATATATATACATATATATATATATACACATATATATATACACATATATATATACATATATATATTATAAGATTATATTTTGTGATATTATATGATATTATATTTAACAGAAGGAAGTTTAGAAGTCTAACTTCCGACAATATGGACAGATGAAAAGCAGAGCAGGGCAGAGGCAGCGAGAAGAGAAAGAGTCAGAAGAAAGAAGATGCAGATGTGCGAAAAGGTAGGAAAGTGGCGAACACTGTGTCTTTCAATGATTTGTGGCTCCGGAGGGTCGAAACGTAGGCTCGCTAAAGCGGCGGGTGCGGAGCCATCTGGCCAGATGAGAAATGAAAAATTGCACGCCGTTGTGACGCGACTACACTACACTACACGACACGACACGACACGACACGACACGACACGACACACAACACACTACACACTACACCATGCCACACCACAGCACACTCAATTACATTACACTACACTACCCTACCCCACATTGCGTTACATTACGTTACATTGCATTACATTACACTGATTCATTACACCACCACAAATGCAACTGCAACTACACTACACTAATTACACTACACCACAATTACAGCTCCACTACACTACAACTACAACTACAGCTGCACTACACCACACTACATCGAGCAGTTGTGGGTGAGGTGACCGACCTGGTGACCACTGCAACCATTGCAACCACTCCAAAAAACACAGCTCCAAGCCCCTGTCGGTCCATCAGTGGATTTGCTCTGCCATCCGTGATTCACAGAAACTAATCTCTCCTATAGGTTTCCTATTTTTGACACTTCCGCCACCGCCTTGTGCAGCACTACTGGTATGTATATATATATATATATAATAATAATTTCACAATATTATCTCTCTCTATATCTATGTATATATATATATGTGTGTGTACACATGATTATTAGTTTATACGTATACAATTCCCAAGGGCTTTGATTTGGATTCCGTCAATTTCCTCAACAACTTCAAGCTGACACTGGCCAGGTAGCCTATCTGTAGTGTGCGACTACTGTTGATTCACTTGATTACTATTTACAATCTTTGATAGTTTTGATGTGACATTTGGGACTCACATCCACATTGTACGCTACACATTGAGTTTTTTAAACTTGAGTTTTGACAATAATTTCAACCAAAACCTGGAGTGGGTGACCTTGCCATCGAGGCTTCTAAGCTTGAGTTTTGTCATTACTTTCAACCAAAGACTGGAGCAGTTGACCTTGCCATCGAGTTATTCAAGTTTGAATTTCGTGCATAATTTCCACCAAAACCTGAGCCAGTTTTGACATTGCCAGGACTTTTTTGGAGATTTACCGGTGTCAGACCGTGTGGGCCACGACAAGACGGGTGTCGGTTACAAGGATCCGTCTCTTACAACAAACCGGTCACTTGCGTTGCCGTCACCTTCGAACACTTTGCCCGTAGACTTGCAAAGCACGAATACGATATCGTTGTTGGTCGCAAATGTCGGCTTCATCAATCGCAGCCGGCGCTCTCCGACCTGGGATGGATTGATGGAGCGACCCTACAAGGATTCGGCCAGACAAGGTGATCGCATCCATTCATTAGTTTGCCTGTCTGCGGAGGTGCAATGGGTCAATGAAGCGAACGGTGGAGTTATATCTCGAGCCGGCCTCACTTCCTTCCGGGTTACCACAGTGCACGTCCACAACGACGAGAAGCGTTCCGTCGAGTCGTGCAAGCTTGCATTAAAGACACTATTTTGGTTGGCGCTCCGAGACACACATCGTGTCATTGGAGTGCAACTTCAACTTAGAACCCCAGGCTATTCGTGATGCAGTGGATTGTGTCATCGAGCAGTTCGAGGGAGCGAGTTACGAGGTTCTACATGGTGCTCGCAGCGCGGAGATCTGTTGCGTGCTGCTGAATTTCGCAAAGCTGCTGGACAAGTGAGGCGTTGAGACTTTCAGACAACGATGGAGATAACGACTAAGCTCGGCCCACTTCAGCGGCAACCAGGAGGATTCCACCGGCTGGTGGCACGTCCGCAGCTGCGATGCCGAAGCCAGGCAGGGTGCTTGTTCTCAAAGACATTTACTATGATGTGTATATTGATTAATTGAATATTAATTGATGTATTTTATATATATATATATGATTATATATATAAATGATATAGGTGTGTATATATATATACATATCATGATTATGTGTATTGTAATACAAAGGGTTGTGAGACTGATGTTGGTCTGATTTTCTGCTCATTTCCAGACCCCTGTTGTGGTATTATATAAAAGCAGCAAGACTGTGTTTTTTTGCTATTGGCAGATGGCGGCCTTTGATAGGTCGCCAACACCGGCAATGAGTCGGTTCCTGAACAAAGCACTTCGAGCACGAACATTGACGTGCACAAGAAAAGGCCAGGGACTTCTTGCCTTAGATCTCAAAGATATAAGCTTCAATTGTAGCAAATGGGCGTGCAAGAACATCGTGCCGCAGTAGTATGCAGGAAAAAACGCGAACCCATTTTTTAAAGTAAGAATAGACACAAACAAACACGTGTATATACACATGACTATGTCGCATAACCCTACTTAAATCAACTACATTTTTGTTCTACCGGTTTTTATTTTCATGAGTTCCGCTTCGGATTATCGCATTGCAGGCCGGTGAGCCCCTTGAGATTCGAAGAAAAGACCTTGATCTTCGAGTTCCAGGTGGACGTGAAGGAGGCGGAACGAATGTTCTTCCATGATATCACATAGTTTAGGTGCCTGATAGCACATAGGGATAACACATCATGTGGTAAACAGGTAAACCCCTATTGATTTTTGGAACATCTCGAAGGACTCACCAGAAACTCGGTCAGCTTGGAACAGCCCGGACAGGTGATCCTGACCTCACGCCGCGGCCCGGCGTTGACTGATGGCGACGAAGAAGATCGGGGTTGAACCACCATGTATAATGGACATGTAAGCAGCTAGGAAAAGATGCTGGAAACCACTAACTTTCATGGATTCTTTAACTTTATATTTATCCCGTTCCAAAATTGATGTTATATTCAATTATATTCTGTTATATTCCCTATATTATCTATACTTCATTCAATGGACAGATTTAAGGGAACATCTACAGGATGCCATTCGTTTTTTACCCCAAAGAGATTTCCCCTTAAACCAATTCATGGGACATGAACCATCTGGGTGACAACCTTTAGGTTGGATCTAATGGGGTTAATTTCGTCTCTAAATTTAATGGGATTAGGAACAGCTAACTGGTGATTGGTTGCTAGTTGGTTGTTTGACCAATATCTGGTGGTTTCAAACATGAATGGATTATTTTCCATTTCATATATGGGATGTCATCCGAAACCCATTGACGATGGTTATTGCACCACCATTTTGGGATGATCCCACATGCTGCTGCTGCTCCCAAGGTAAATGCCAGATAGGAGCTGCTCTGAGCCACTGGGAAAGGGCAAGGGTAAACGCTGGACTGTTTGTTGAGGAAAATTCGGGTGTACCATGACAATCTAATCTATTAGGGATGAACACAATCCAGGTTTTTATCATATTTTTCCATGATTTCATATATGTTATGGTCGTTTAAAAAACCGCACGTTTGGCTGCAGTTTTCATGGAGCTAGTGATGGAAGCGAGTGCACCGGATCAGACCTCGATGATCAATCTTGTCGGCTGGAAGTGGTCATCAACTTTCAATATGCCACATCTAGTTATCAACATGAAATGTCAGCATCCTGAGTTTCAAGGACAAGTTCATACCTCCACAATTCCATACAATCTTATTCGGATGATTCTTGGGAGCCCAGAGTGTTGAAGATCCGTCTTGCAGCCACCCTTCCCCAAGGTGCCACATATGTCTGGCTGATTAAGCAATGGTTGCACCCATTCTAACAGTAAATTGGGTGATTAATCTTTTGGGTGATTGCTTCATTAATACTCGCCATTTGATGCCATTTGGGTGATGAATGTTTTGGGTGGTTTCGGTTGGGTAAACCCAAGGACTGTTTTACACTATCACCCAAGTTTTGTGTTTTTTCTCCCATAATCCCCGTTCTTGCCATGTAAGATCCCAGCGTTTCATGTTTACATTCCAGTTTACCCTAGCTAGTCTCCAACCATCCAATAAATGATTCCAAGTGTTTTTTTTTACCCCTGTCGTATATCCATGTAAATCCCATAAGAATCCAGTATGCTCCAGAACATCCCGCAAGAATCCCATCATAATCCCCCAGTAATCCATTGACATGCAAATGGGGGTTTCTCTAAAAGTAGATCCCCCAAACCATGGGTTTCAATGCGTGTAATGACTTGGATGATTTGGGGTATCCCCTGTTGTTTGGAAACCTTCAAATAAGCTGATTTTCATAATCCTGTGAATTTTCAAACAACTCATGTATCCCGTCAACGCGATCCATCAGCATTTCATCTCATGATAACCCCATAGGTATCCCACATTTGGAATCCACAATCTCATTACAATCCCATCAACATTCCCACATTTGGAATCCATCAACATAGTCTCAGAATCGCATCATAATCCCAGGTATTTCGAAATGGTTTCGAAATTTCTCAATTCTCCCATAGGAATTCTCCCATAAGAATTATCCCTGATAGCAATTCTCTCGTAATCCCAAGGTATCTGTGGCTTCAACACATTTCTGGCGAGCTTAAGTCTTCATGGTGCCCTTTCCATGCAGCTCTGCATGGCTGCTTGCCTCGGCCTCATTGCGATGCTCGGTCCATGGCCGTTTGGGAGGGGTCGGTTTGGGGGAGTCCTGGGGATTGAAAGATGGAAACATTGATATTGTCCATGCATATATCTAGACAACAATATATATATATAGTATTCACATAAAATTATAGAATATATATATTATATCAGTATCTAAGTCTATATCTATATCTATATCTATTTCTATATCTATTTCTCTATCATTCTATATCTATATCTCTATCTATCTACCTATCTGCCTATCTACCTATCTATCCATCTATCCATCTATCCATCTATCGATGGATCTATCGATCTATCTATCTATCTATCTATCTGTCTGTCTGTCTATCTGTCTGTGTCTGTCTGCGTCTGTCTGCGTCTGGAACTAGGAACTGAGTCCATAGAGTTTTTTTCATCAAATCATGGTTCAACCGTCCTCAATAAGACCGAAAAGACGTCAACCTATGAGGATTGTAGGATAACCAATACTCTTATTATACCTACTTAATAGATAATTTATTTTGTAACCCAGTAAACCCCCAACCGAAACACCATGATTTTGTTGGGGGTGGCTCTGATCCAAAGCCTAAAAAAGGAGCTCCAAGTGAAGCTTCGCACAGCCAGAAACGAGCACAGTTTCTTCTTGGTGGCATCTGGGCAGATGTGGATGGGTCACTTTGTTGGCCGACCACGGATAAAATGATGAAATATGGTCATCTTTGTTTCCGAATGACATTCCAAGATCAAGGACTGGTCAATTTTGGGATCAAAACTTAGGATCTTTACTAAACAGAGGCAAGACGAGGTGTAATTGTACATATATATATCTATAATATATATTATATATATATACATAATATGTGTATATATACATATTTATTTATACCCATTATATATATATCTATCTATCTATCTATCTATCTACATATATATATATATATACACATAATATTAAATATATATATATATATATACACACACCAACTTTGTCATTTTTGAACAGGCATTTACCGGTGGACGGACCGGTGGACCGGTGGTGGCCCACCAAGGACTCCATGGATGAGGCATTGAAATACAAATTGGATGATGCAGCACCAGATGCGGCCCAAAAGGCCAGGGGCCCCGTGGCTTGTGAGGGCCACAAACACATGGCTATGGATCAATACCTATAGATAAAGTTTATTAGGGGATGAACATTCATTTACCAGCAATTTTGATGTTCACTAGGTGCCAGGGTTTTGACCCATCCCCACATGAACTCCATGAAAGAGTCGTGTTTTTTTTGGGTGGGGAGGGAATGTCAAAGAAGACTCCCCGAAACAGAAAGTTGTGTGATTCATATGATGTCTACTACAAAAGCTTGCAAAAACTAGTTCCCAGTACTAATGTGTACTACAAAGTTTGCACTAGACACGTTCCAGTACTACTTTGTACTACAAAGCTTGCACAAAACACTTCCCAATATTACTTTGTAATACAAAGCTTGCATGAAACACTTTCCCAGTACTACTTTGTACTACAATCTTGCACAAACCACTTCCCAGTACTACTTTGTACTACAAAGCTTGAACCAAGCACTCCGCAGTACTACTTTGTACTACAAAGCTTGCACAAAACACTTCCCAGTACTACTTTGTACTACAAAGCTTGCACAAACCACTTCCCAGTACTACTTTGTACTACAAAGCTTGCACAAACTACTTCCCAGTACTACTTTGTACTACAAAGCTTGCACAAAGCACTCCCCAGTACTACTTTGTACTACAAAGCTTGCACAAAGCACTCCCCAGTATTACTTTGTACTACACAAGTTGCACAAACTACTCCCCAGTATTACTTTGTACTACAAGTTGCACAAACTACTTCCCAGTACTACTTTGTACTACAAAGCTTGCACAAACTACTTCCCAGTACTACTTTGTACTACAAAGCTTGCACAAAGCACTCCCCAGTACTACTTTGTAGTACAAGAGTTGCACAAAACACTTCCCAGTACTACTTTGTACTAAAAAGCTTGCACAAAGCACCCCCAGTACTACTTTGTACTACAAAGCTTGCACAAAACACTCCGCAGTACTACTTTGTACTACAAGGCTTGCACAAAACACTTCCCAGTACTACTTTGTACTACAAAGCTTGCACAAAGCATTCCCCAGTACTACTTTGTACTACAAAGCTTGCACAAAGCACTCCACAGTACTACTTTGTACTACAAAGCTTGCACAAAACACTTCCCAATACTACTTTGTACTACAAAGCTTGCACAAAGCACTCCGCAGTACTACTTTGTACTACAAAGCTTGCACAAAACACTTCCCGGTACTACTTTGTACTACAAAGCTTGCACAAAACACTTCCCAGTACTACTTTGTACCACAAAGCTTGCACAAAGCACTCCGCATTACTACTTTGTACTACAAAAGTTGCACAAAAAAAAACCCAGTACTACTTTGTACTACAAAGCTTGCACAAACTACTTCCCAGTACTACTTTGTACTACAAAGCTTGCACAATGCACTCCCCAGTACTACTTTGTACTACAAAGCTTGCACAAAGCACTCCCCAGTACTACTTTGCACTACAAAGCTTGCACAAAGCACTCCCCAGTACTACTTTGTACTACAAAGCTTGCACAAACTACTTCCCAGTACTACTTTGTACTACAAAAGTTGCACAAAGCACTCCGCAGTACTACTTTGTACTACAAAGCTTGCGCAAAGCACTCCCCAGTACTACTTTGTACTACAAGGCTTGCACAAAACACTCCGCAGTACTGCTTTGTACTACAAAGCTTGCACAAAGCACTTCCCAGTACTACTTTGTACTACAAAGCTTGCACAAACTACTTCCCAGTACTACTTTGTACTACAAACCTTTCACAAAGCACTCCACAGTACTACTTTGTACTACAAGGCTTGCACAAAACACTTCCCAGTACTACTTTGTACTACAAAGCTTGCACAAAGCACTCCCCAGTACTACTTTGCACTACAAAAGTTGCACAAAACAACTCCCAGTACTACTTTGTACTACAAAGCTTGCACAAAGCACTCCCCAGTACTACTTTGCACTACAAAAGTTGCACAAAACAACTCCCAGTACTACTTTGTACTACAAAGCTTGCACACAGCACTCCGCAGTACTACTTTGTACTACAAAGCTTGCACACAGCACTCCGCAGTACTACTTTGTACTACAAAAGTTGCACAAAGCA